CTGCACTACCAAATTTATTAACAATATCTTGAATATGCTGGTACCTTCAGTATATTTACAGATCATATTTTATAGCACTCAACCTAATAATCACGCCTGAAACTTCATGATCTGACAGATTTAAGTCAGTCATAAGACTACAATCGAGACCAGAGTAGCAGACTTTCGGTTGATGTGTGTGTTCGAAATATCCTCTAATGCAACAAAGCACACCTGGTTCTTATTGATACAACAGATATTGGTCATAAGATAGGAACCAAATACTGCGTAGAATGCCTTTGGGCATTTTCCATGGTCGAAATGTGCTTTAATGCAACTAACTGTGCCTGACACTTCATGATGTGACAGACCTGTGCCGTGTGGGACCCCTGGCAAAGTACTTTAAGTTACAAACTTGAAAAAAATACAAAGTAGAGCTGCAAGGTTTGTCCTAAGCTGGTACTCAAGAAATGACAGTTGCACCAATACGAAAAATGATCTAGGGTGGGAATTAGTCTCATCGCGTCGAAAGAAACTGCGGCTGAAGCTACTGTACCAAGTATTTCATGGTAAAACCGGCATTCGAAAAGAAAAGTACCTTCCCAGTCCTCATTATATCTCTTCACGAAATGATCATTGTTTCAAGATTTTAGAGTACCGTACCAGATCTAATTTGTATGCTAATTCGTTTTTTGTTCGTTACATTAGAGAATGGAATCACTTATCAAATGAACAAGTGTGCTGTATTAATGAAGATGTGTTTTTCTAGACATTGTAACCCCCCTGCTGCCGCGTCTTCGGGCTAAGCGGGGTAATCATTGAATGAAGAATAAAGAATAAAGAATATTGGTCATAATATTGCAACTGAATCTTGCATGGAAAACTTCTGGACGTTGTCTTCAGTCAAAGTATTCTCTAAAACGACACACGACACCCAACTGTTCATGAAGTCACAGATATCGGTCATAATATTTGGAACTGAACCCGGTATGAAATACCCCTGGACGTTGTTTTTACTCAAAGTATTCTGCAAAACGACAGACGACACCCAACTGTTCATGAAGTCACAGATATAGGTCATACTAGAACTGAAACTTTAATGCAAGACTTCTGGATGTTGTCTTTAGTCAAAGTATTCTCTAAGATGATAGACGACGCCCAATGGTTAATGAAGTCACAGATATCGGTCTTAATATTAGAACTGAAACCTTAATGCAAGACTTCTGGACGTTGTCTTTACTCAAAGTATTCTCTAAAACGACAGACACACCCAACTGTTCATGAAGTCACAGATATCGGTCATAATATTAGAACTGAAACCTCAATGCAAGACTTCTGGACGTTGTCTTTAGTCAAACTATTCTCTGAAACGACAGACGACACCCAACTGTTCATGAAGTCACAGATATCGGTCATAATATTAGAACTGAAACCTTAATGCAAGACTTCTGGACGTTGTCTTTACTCAAAGTATTCTCTAAAACGCCAGACGACATCCAACTGTTCATGAAGTCACAGATATTGGTCATAATATTAGAACTGAAAGCTTAATGCAAGACTTCTGGATGTTGTCTTTACTCAAATTATTCTTTAAAACGACAGACGACACTCAACTGTTCATGAAGTCGCAGATATCGGTCTTAATATTAGAACTGAAACCTTAATGCAAGACTTCTGGACGTTGTCTTTACTCAAAATATTCTCTAAAACGACAAATGACACCCAACTGTTCATGAAGTCACAAATATCGGTCATAATATTGGAACTGAACCCTGTATGGAAGACTTCTGGACGTTGCGTTTAGTCAAATTATTCTCTAAAATCACAAACCGCACCCAACTGTTCATAAGGTCACAGATATCGGTCATAATATTGGAAGTGAACCCTGCATAGAAGGCTTTTGAACGTTGTCTGCAGCCGAAATATTCTCCAATGCAAAAACCCACACCCTACTCTTCATGATGTGACGGATTTACGTCATGAGGCTGTACTTGTGCCCTGTGCGGAGGGCTTTAGAATGATAAGCTTATTGGAAATATCCTCTAATGCAAGAAACCGCATCTGGCTCTTAGTGATACAACAGATACTGGTCATAAGAATGGAACCAAGCACTACGTAGAATGCCTCTGGGTATTTTTTGTAGTCAAAATATGCTCTAATGCAACTAACTGTACTTGAAACTTTCATGATAAGACAGATATTGGCCACAGGACTGCAACTGAATCCTGTATGGAAGACTTCTGGACGTTGTCTGTAGTTCAAGTATTCTCTAAAACGGCAAACCGCGCCTAAGTCACAGATATTGTTCATAATACTGGAACTGAACACTTCTTGAAAGGCACCCAAACTGTTCTCCAATGCAATAAAACACACCCGGCACATCATGATTCAACAGATATTAGTGATCAGATTGGAACCGAGCACAGCGTGGAACACTTTCAAATGGTATATTTATTTAGTTTCAAATACGGCAGCCCAATGTGAGGCTACTGCAAAAGCGGTGTACATATATACGAAATGAAAGTATTTAAACAGTAATATCACAATAAGTGAGCCAAGGTAAACAAATATCACTACCCTTGAGTGCACCCCAGTAAGAAATCAGAGAAATAGAACATTATTATAATACAAGTGCCTCCAAAAAGTCAGACAGACTGGTATTAGGAATCAAACCAAGTAGATCAATGCAGTGTTTGACAACTTTATTTGAACGTGTTAGAGAGCACAACAAATGACTTCTAAGCTGGATGGTGATTGCGTATCAGTGCTGTGTTGAAGGCTTCAGCACTTTGATGGTAGTTTAAATATCCATTAACATCTAAAGAATGCATGTGACACTTCTTGATGAGACAGGCATTGGTTTTGAGATTACAGCCAAGCACTGTGGCTTTCACATGTCATCAATTATCAAAATACACTATAATTCAATAAAGCATGCCCAAAATTTTTGGTGGGATAGATACCGATCATAGGATTGCACCAGAGCACCGTACAGAAGCTTTGGCAAGTTTTGCAACAGAGCTAAACTGGATATGGTTAAGTGCATGCATATATATATAATCCAAGTTAATGCATCTATTAAAAAACTCAACAGAAATGAAGCACTTCTTGGACAAATATTCAATGTTCGAAACCATTGAATAATGTCTTCAGCTCATTACACTTTGGAGGAACAGATAAATACATGACAGTTCTGAAAGGTCTCATAAGTCACGTGAGGTACTTTTTGCATTTCTTCCATACCAAGTGCAGTGCCATACTAGTGCACCTTCTTCATTCTGTGCATACATGTGGTGATCTCTTCCAACTATCGTGTCATCGTGCAGCTGACTTCAAATCGGGTGCTTCTCACAAGGTTTTCAGTTATCTGTCCAGCTGTAAACAAAACGCGCGTTATACTATAGTAAACTGTAAAACGACGGAGAAACGCCATTGTATGCCTATAGCTACTAGTATCAGAATGAACTATAAATTAAGAATGTGTGTGTTAGAATGCCGTCCGGGGCTGGACGGGCTTTGTGCTTCGTTTTATAATTATTTTAAAAATGAACTATCTCAAGTACTTGAAGATGTCTTCAATCAAGCTTATAAACTTAATGGCCTCCCTAGGTCCTTTAGTGAAGCACATACAATTTTGATACCTAAGACAGAACACTCGGAGAAGATAAAATTAGTTTCTTCGTATAGACCTATATTAATAATTGTGATTACAAAATTTAAATGAAATGACAACACGGCGACTTCAAGGGGTAATCAAAGAATTGGTAAAGCCTCACCAAACATGCGGGATTACAGGACGCTCCATTGTGACCAATATACACAAGATGCGCTGCGTGCTCGAGTGTAGCGATGCCAATCAAGTAGGGGTAGCCATTATACAGATTGATCTCAAGAAACCTTTTGATTGTGTTTACCACAACCTTCTGTTTGCCATTCTTGACCATGTCAACGTTGGTTTTGTAATCAGAGATGGAGTATTTATGGCATACCGGAACTGCACGACCCGACTGGTAATCCGTAAGACGCTAGGAGATACAATTAACATAAAGCGTTCTGTCCGTCAGGGCGGCCCGCTGAGTCCCCTACTTTTCAGTTTATATATAGAATCGTTGTGCTTAGCAATAACTCAAAACAGTTGCATTCGTGGCTTTAGATTACAAGAATCCGAAGTTAAAATTTTGGCATATGCCGACGATGTGGCTGTTTGTTGTATCGATCAGGATGGTGTTACCACTACCATCAGTGTGGTTAAAAGGTTCGGCGACGCAACTGGCAGTCTAGTAAACTGGGCCAAGTGTCTGGGATTTCGGCATGGAGAGTGGTCGTCAAGACCAGACTATTTTGTCAATGTTAAATCGGTGACCACACCTGTCAAGTACCTTGGGGTGCCACTGGAATTTTATAAAGATAAGGAGAACTACTGGCAAGAACAAGCGAAAGAAATTCGGACGAAAGCCAATAGGTGCAACGGTAATCATCTGTCAGTGTTTTCTAGGGCGACTGTCTGTAATCTTTTCTTTGCCTCAAAACTTTGGTATGTGATGCAAGTATTGCACTGTTCAAGGGCAAACATACAGAAGCTTCATCGCATGTTCGCAGTGTTCGTGTGGGCTTTGAACTGGCAGAGATGCAGTCGAACTAATCTGTTTCGAAAAGTGAAACACGGAGGGCTGGGTTTAACACATCTTATCATACGCCAAGTCGTAAATAGGTTGTTTTTTTTTTCGCTACACAAGGGACCCTTTCTTACGTACAGTGTGCCAAATGAGACTGAGGCGGGCTTTCCCTGGATATGTGTGTCACGATTTGGTGCCCGTTCGTCAACCTGGGAGGGCTGGGGTACCTTCCAGCAGAGTCACGACCTGCTACGGCTGGTGGACGGTGACTGACCCACGAGCGGCTGTGCTCGGCGGTGTTTATTGAGTCCGCCGTCCCCAATGTTGCCCACAGAGCCTGGTGGGGCCACTTAACCTAGCGGCCAACAAATATCAGGAAAGGGGGGCGCCACACGATTGTCACACCCCTCACCCCCTAGTTTGTTTGTCCACACAAACACAAACACCTGTCCATCCGGCGAGTAGCGGTCTGGTGGTCTCCGGTGCCTCGCACTCCGCCTCAGCACGGGTGTCGCAGGTGTGGTCGCATCAGGCGCTGCCTGCGTCGCTGTCGCACTGTCTGCCTGCCTTGCTGTTGTCCCCGGACTTGCAGGCGGCATCACAGTGGTGCGAGTAGCACCAGCCCCTGGTGCTGTGCTGGCATCGGTCACTGCACTTGGCTCCCCTGCCTGCTGGCTTCCTGAAGGGACGGGGGCTGAGGTCGCCAGGCGATGCCTCACATGGTCAGCATGTCGGTGCCACGTGGTCCCGTCCGACATGCGAACGAGCAGTAATGATGCACTGGCTGGAGAGACCACGTGCCCGGCAGACCAGGGTGGACCAGGCCGGAAGTTTCTGGCGAAGACCGGAGCACCGGACTCCTGCAACGGCCCAGGACGGCAACTACTGTCAGCCGCCAGCCTGTGCTTGAGCTGCTTCAGGAGCGCTGTGGACCGGAGGTCGGGGTGCAAGACGTCCAACGGTGTCTTCACCATCCGGCCCAGCAGGAGCTTGCAGGGGGCACGGCCCGTGACGTCGTGGGGTGTGGTCCGGTACTGATAAAGGACTCGGGCAACCTGCGTCTGGAAATCCCCACCCTTGCTTTTCTTGAGCTTGTCTTTGACTGTTTGTACCACCCGCTCGGCAGCACCGTTCGACGCGGGGTGGTACGGCAGAACCATCATCCGGCGGATGCCGTTATTCGTCAGCCAGGACAGATACTCCTCGCTGGCAAAAGCAGGACCGTTGTTGGACACGATGACGTCCGGCAACCCCTGGGGAGTGAAGACTTTCCGCAACGCTGCAATGGTGGCCCCTACCGAGGGAGTGGTGACTGGAAGTACCTCCACCCACTTGGAGAAGACGTCCATCCCCACCAGAAAGCAGTGGCCCTTAAAGGGGCCCCCGAAATCCACGTGCAGGTGGGACCACGGCTTCTCCTGCAACGGCCAGGGGGTGATCTCCAGATGGCGCGAGGCTCGCTGGTTCTTCTGGCAGACCTGGCAGCTCTGCACCATGCGAGCGATGTCCTGGACCAGGCCAGGCCACCAAACGTGGGACCAGGCAACCATCTTGGTCTTCTCCACGCCTGGATGGCCCGCGTGCAGCAACTGCAGGACCATGGACCGCAAGCTCTGCGGAATCACCACCCTGGAGCCCCACAGCAGGCAGCCCTGCTGCAGGCTCAGCTCGGCGGACTTATGGCTGTACATCCGCTCAGCCAACTCTTCCCCTCGGGACACCGCCTTGACCACCTGTGACAGGACCGGGTCCCGGCTGGTTGCCTGCGACACTGCCGATCTGGACAGCACCTCCGGGTAAGCGTGCTTCAGCATGAACACTTAGGCAGGTCCAGGAACTGCAGCAGGCACCTCCGGCAGGGGCGGTCGGCTCAGAGCATCAGCAGGTGCCAGGTCCTTCCCCGGGCGGTAGACCAACTGGTAGCTGTAGGCCGCGAGCTTCAAAGCCCAGCGCACCACTCGAGGCGACGCCTTCACTGGAACCGCCTTGTCAGGCCCCAGCAGTCCCAGCAGTGGCTTGTGGTCCGTGACCGCCTCCAACCTCCGGCCCCACAGGTACTGGTGGAAGCGCTTGACCCCAAACATAAGGGCCAGGCCTTCCTTATCCAGGTGGGTGTGTCTCTGTTCTGCAGCAAGGAGCCGACGGGACGCGAACGATATGGGGCGTTCCTGGCCATTCTTCTCCCGGTGGGCCAGGACGGCTCCCACACCATACGGTGACGCATCCACCGTCAGGACGACAGGCTTGGCCGGATCGAAGTGCACCAGCACTGGAGCATTGGTGATAAGCTCCTAGCTGCGCTGGAAGGCCAAGTCCTGTTACTTCCTCCAGGCCCACTGCTGTCCATCTCGAAGCAGAAGATGGAGTGGCTGCATACGCGACGACAGGTTCGGCAGGAAGGTCCTGTAGAAGTTGATGAGGCCGAGGTAGCTCTGCAGCTCTTTCTTGTTCTGGGGCTTGGGCACCTTGAGCACCGCTTCAACCTTGCGAGGTGCAGGGACCAGGCCTGCCAGAGAAATGACATGGCCTAGGTACTCAACGCTGGGGGCCAAGAAGATGCACTTTTCCAGCTTGAGCTTCAGCCCGGCATCCCGCAATCGTGCCAGTACGCTGTGTAGGTTCTGCAGGTGGTCCTCGTCGTCTCTACCGGTCACCAGGATGTCGTTCAAGTACACCGCCACGTGCCTCATGCCCCTGAACAGGTTGTCCGTCTCCCTCTGGAAAATGGCAGGAGCTGAGGCCACGCTGAACGGTAGACGCGTGTACTGGAAGAGTCCCAGCGTTGTCGATATGGTGAGATACTTCCGGGATGACTCCGGAGCACCAGCTGCTGGTACTCATCTCTGAGGTCGAGCTTGGTGAACTTCTGTCACCCGGACAGCGCCGACCAGAGATCTTCAATGCGTGGCAGTGGGTACTTCTCCACGGTAGCGACGGGGTTGATGGTGACCTTGAAGTCCACGCATATCCTTACACTGCCGTCTTGCTTGAGGTCAGGCACGATGGGAGTGGCCCACTCTGAAGACTTGATGGGCACCAGGACGTCGTCTCGCTGCAACCGTTGCAGCTCCTGCGTGACCCTGTCCTTCAGGGCGAACGGCAGCGGGCACGGCTTAAAAACCGAGGCTTGGCTCCATCTGGCACATGAATGCTCGCCGCCGTGCCGGCGAATGTGCCCACCCCGGGCTGGAACAGGACCTTAAACTTGGTCATGAGGTTGGGGACGTCTTCCACCGCACGTACAGCTTCCTGGTATTCTGGCAGCCGCACACCCAATGCCTGGATTCAGTTCCGGCCCAGCAGCGTCGGTGACGACTTCTTGGTCAGGTACAGGGTGGCCTCCCTGTCGCCAAGGCAGACGCTGACCTGGGCATGACTCTCGACCTGGGCGAGCTGTCCGGAGTAGCGGCGCAGCATGACGCCCGACGCTTCGACTGGCGTGCCCGGGAAGGTTCGCTTGAAGGCCTTCCTGGCCATCATTGGCCCACGTGTCCAGCTTCATGGAGAAGGGACGCCCGCAGATTTCGACGGTCAGCATATACGGTGGCACAGACGACTGACGCATGTTCGTGTGCCACACGTCGAAAATCTGTGGGTCTTCGGCCACGACGTGAAGCCTAGCCGTGGCACCCGAAGCTGCTGCCACACGCCCCCGCCTCCTCCCCTTGCGTCGACTCACTTGGCCGTGGGCTGGCGCGGAACAGGTGCTCGACGACGGCTGCCTCTGTCCGTCCATCGTCCCCCCTCGGCACGCCCGAGCAATGTGCCCAGTCCTTCCACACGCGAAGCACTCCGCTTCCGCGAACTGGCACTTTGAGGGGGGTGGTCGCCACCACAGCAACTGCACTTGCCACACCGAGTCGCCTTCTTGTTCACCGCCGCTTCCGTCGATGGTGAGCCGGCCGCACGTGCTAGCTCGCTCGCGTCCTTGGCCGCAGCTTCCATCGCCAGCGCTGCCTTTACCGCGTCGTCCAGCTAGGGGTCGGGAAGCTCCAGGAGTCGCGTCTGCATGGCGGGGTCGTTGATGCCGCAGACGAAACGGTCCCGGAGCAGCGAGTCTAACTGCTCCCCGAAGGCGCAGCTGCTCGCTAACCCTCGCAGCCCTCCGACGAACTGCCCGAGCGTCTCTCCGTCTCGGCGGCTACGGTTGTTCAAGCGAAAGCGCTCCATTAACGTCGACGGGGCCGGGCTGAAGTGCGAGCGTAGGAGCAGCTCACCTAGCGACTTGTCATGCGGCGTGGCTGGCTTGAGCAGGTCGAACAGGAGCCCGAAGACGCGGGTCCCGCAGCTGGCCAGGAAGATGTCGCGCTGTTTTTCCACGGGGGTGTCGTTCGCCCGAAAAAAAAAAAAAACACGCCGACCTGTTCCTCGTAGACTGGCCAGGCGGACCCATCACCCTGGAACGGCTCGAGCCTCCCTTAGAGCGGCATGGCGTAATAGCGGCCGACGTGGGAGCGGTGTCGGCGTTCTCGGTGGCTTCGGTCGCTCTGCGGGCTTCTTTCTTCGTCACCAGTGTGACGATTTGGTGCACGTTCGTGAACCTGGGAGGGCTGGGGTACCCTCCAGCAGAATGACGACCTGCTACGGCTGGTGGACGGTGACTGACCCCCGAGCGGCTGTGCTCGGCGATGTTTATTGAGTCCGCCGTGCTCAATGTTGCCCACCGAGCCTGGTGGGGCCACTTAACCTAGCGGCCAACAAATATCAGGAAAGGGGGGCGCCACACGATTGTCACAATGTGGTTAGCACGAATGACAAGACCGGTGCTGTGCGCGGGTATCTTAAGGAGGTTATTCTAAGTGTACAGTTTTTATCTGTAAGATTTTCCAATGGATATTTGTTTTCAGTGACTCGAAAGAAGTTGCACAAAGATGTATGTAATGTTGTTTTACCTGAACCCCTGTACCGTGCCATGTACGCGGGAGGTGAAGGGAAAGATATGCTTAAACGAGTGAACAGAATGCAAGTGGCTCCTGCCGCGAAGTCTTTCTTTTTCAAGCTGCATACAGGTACATTATCTGTCAGGACATTTGAAGCAGACCGTGGTTTTTACTCAACTTGGGGGACAAATCGCCTTATCTGTGAAAAACGGGAAACAATTGACCATGTTTTCTTACATTGTTGGAAGGGAGTATATTTTTCGGATGTACTTCAAAGGACGTTACAGAAAGAATTACTTTTAAATTCATATGGTCTAAGATTTCTGCCAATAGTAGACGAAGAGGGAATGCCTTTTGATTTGATTATGCCATGTGGACTTCACTGTTTATGCCGGGCCCGTATGGCGGGTTTCTATCGCGATCAGTATATGCTCGGCCTGCACGAATGTATTTCCGTGAATGTATGGCCAAGTTTGTTGAACTGCAAAAAACTAAGGAGATTTTACCTGAGTTGATGTCGAGGGTAGAGCCCTTGGCAGCACTTAGGGAATTTTAATTTCTGTTGGACTGTTACTACTTGTTTTTGTTGTGCTTGTGGTTTGATGTACGCACCTATAAACAGGCAATAAAGCAAAAAAAGTGTGTTAGAATGCCTCCAAACAACGTTTGTGCTACTGAGCGTGGCAGAGAAGCAGAAGAAGCGAGAAGTGAAATAGCAGGCAATACCAGCAGCACTTAATCATGCAACTTTCTTTTTCGATGACCACAGCAACGCACGCTCAAGTTTCTGTCTTGTACGTGAATGGAAATGAGACCGCTTACAGCTGAATGTTTCAGCGTTGGTGGTACCCTACACGAAGTCACCTCACACTGCTAACAACCAGCGCACGCTTGTTATTAGCTTGACAACACACGAAAACGATTTGCACCGAAGCCAACGAATGTTTCAGCGTCGTACAATCCGCGAATACACTTCTATAAGTACGTACGTTTTCACATCCCCGAAATGGGTTGGCTAGTGCGAGGTTCGCTTTCAGCGATGATGAATACCGATGTTGAAAACAAACACAGTGCAGATAAAAACTCCTCCGTATGAACTAGGCGATGTTTCTGGCGTCGTATATGGTGTCAATGTTGCGATGGAAACTACCATAGAGTTTTTTCAGCCGAGGTTGTTCGCAAGTGCTGGTTCATACGAACTAGACGGTAGAGGCCTGCGCTGGATGCAGATGACACGGCTCTGAATTGCCTCCGCGGTAGGCGAGGGCTCACGCTCAAACCTTCGAACCTCCGAAGTCTGTTTTACACTCGTTTTTAGCACAGAAAGTCACAGATCAAAACACAAGGACACCGACATGCTCCTTTCGCTCGGCCGACGATCGCACTCGGGACCGGCGCTAGCATAGCCGGCCGGCATTCGCTGGATTTGTCGGCGTCGCTCGAACTCGGCACGAAACCGCCTCACGCTGGTAGCACTCGCAGTCACTCGTCGTGTCGTTGTCGTTCTAGATTACAAAGCGGTCATTCAGGAACGTTTGGAGTAGTTTCCATGCTTGCATCTAGCACTCGGCTGTGCCTTCGAAGCGGCGGCCATTAGGCATAACGTTCCGAGGCATCGCGGTCTCTGGTTGGTTGGCACGTGGTCCCTGGTTGGTTGGCGCCGCTGTACGCGTGGCGACGTAGCGTACGCGTGGCAAAAATATCAAGCCCGGCTTGATCCCTCGCGCCTCTTCGCGTATGCCCCTCCGACGCCGACGCCGGGAGGCGCATTTGACACTTTTGACGCGTAGACGCGAGCATACGCGTGCCAGTGGTTGGCACTTTATACTCGCAGGCACGTGCCGCGCTGCGTTACTTTGACGCGTGCGCGTTTCAGCACGTGCGGCGTCCCTCCGTCACGAAAAGAGGGAGACGCAGTGTTGTCAGGGTAAAAC